TCGGCTGATTTTGAATTTATTTTTAATATTATTATTTTTAACAGACCGGGACAGGAAATCCGTTAAAAACTCATAACTTCTTCATCCGACGTCCGGTTTTGTCAGTCTTTTTACCGTTGTACTACTATTGACGAGACCTTCAATTCTCGTTTAGGTTGTGTCGGCTAAAAATCACTCGATCTTTATTTCGCGTTTTTTTAGCTGTACACTGCTATACTGAAACTTAGAGAAATCGTAACTCCCTCATATGAAGTCAGATTTTGCCGTTCTTTTTATGAAAGTTCTCGGTTTAACATAAACTACAACTTTCATTTAGATTGTTAAGGCTAAAAAGCCTTTTATTGAAAATTCAGTTTTTACACTGAACATTGTTTTGCCGGTTTTGTCGCGGATCTTCGATTGGTCATAACTTCTTCGTTATAATTCAGATTTTAGTGTTCTTTATGTTTTTGGAAACCTTGTTACAATCTCTATCACTTGGTTTATCCCAATCGAGATTGTTTAATAATTTATTTTTGAGGGTCAATTATGTAAATATACACAATATGCTAAAATTTCTCTTTATTATTTTAAAAAGAAATACAAATTGACCTACATTATTACATAGGTTTGAAATAACGGTTTGTTACAAGTATAACAAGTAATTATCATATAAAAGTTGATTTGGAAGATAAGGCATCAAATTTTGGATCTGCACCGAGCTCACGTCGTGAGCCTCATTGCTTACGTCGTGAGCAACGACAAACAGAAAAACATGTTTCTTTTTCGATTCACCAATGTGCAAATACATGAAAGAAAGCCCTAGGCTCTAATACCACTGATGGGTTATTAGGGTTACAACTACAATGCTCTAAGCGTGAAAACATTTAAACAATTCAAATGATTAGGGCACATGCAACCTAATAGGATATATGTCTTTCACATATAGGCAACATACTATGGATTGTTATCCTAGAAAACTTTCCTATGAAAACTAATTCATAAGAATAATAAACTTACCTTGAACATTGTTATTACAAACAATCTTGAATTCCTTCTTGAAAAACTTTTGGAAGCAAGCACCACAAGTGCTGTGCCTCTAATGCTTCACACCCAAACCCTAGCAACCAAGGAGCTTGAAGAGAGAGAGAGGAGAAGATTAGAAATTTTGGCCCTAAGCCTCTAAAGGAATGTCATAGCCGAAATTCTAATGCTAAGGGTCCTTATATAGTTGAGGTATCTGGGTGCCAAAGCTAAGGTTTAAAGAGGAAACCCTAATCCCTGTGCTTGGTGACCAAGCAGCCCATTCCCCTCTTTCAAGGGGCTTGGACGAAATTCCTTGGGCTTACCCAAGTGATTTTCGTCCACCTCATCCAATGAGGTCCATGGGCTCCTTTCCTTAACTTTCAATAAATAACCAAACAGACCCTGCACTTTTAATCAATCCAATTAACCCCAAAATTAATTCCAATTAGTTTTTGATTAATTCTTAATTAAATAATACTATTTCCAATTAATATATTATTCTCATAATATATTAACAAATTATTTATTTTGATTTCCAATTAATGTATTAACCATATAATAAATTAATCAATTAGTCTCTCTCTGTAAAAAGCTATCTTATTCAATTGCTAGGTTTGAGGGCAACCCAAAAGGGTTGTGCTGTTATCAATTCAAGTTTATACCAATTATAGTTATCGGCTTAGACACCCAATCCAACAATATGTTCATTCAAAATCCCAATATGATAAGATTAATTTGTTTACTATTAATGGAAGTCCAACTTATATTTCATGTCTGATGTATATCATTCACCAACACACTTGTTCGTTTCTTGATTTTATCATTAATCTCAGTTGTTGAATTAAGTATACAAATCGATTTTTGGAAACATAGTAATCATTCGATTGATTCTTCTTTCATGTTGTTCGATTGTCATACATCGTAATATTGACTTGATCATGATTTTCTTTCCTTCATTCTTTGATCGAAATCATCTATTACGGCGTCAGAGAATCTAAAATCAATCTGATTTTATTTCTTCAATTCATCTTACTTTGTTGAATGATGTTGGTTGCTCGATTGATTCGTTAACATGAGTTCATGTTGTAGATATTGGTTTGAATTTGATTATGTATGCATCATGAATTGATCTTTCCAAGTTTATTCTGGCTTCTTGTTCTTCACTAGTATCAATATCAATTCCCTTGAATTATGATGAACTCGAATCGTAATATCCCGATGTGTAAATGAACTGATTTGGTGGCTTAAATGAACTCATTGTGAAAACACGAATTTTTGGCATTTTAGTTGAAGAAGATGATGATACAAGATAAACTTCTTAATGCTCAATAACATATGAATAACACTTGAAATTTTGGTTGAAATTGCCAATTTTGATCTGAAAAGGTCTATTTGGGTATTAAACACTTTTAACTTTTATTTTAAACAAAAAACTCTTAATCCAAAAGCTACTTCAAATAGCTTTTGGTTTTTATGTAATTTTACACATTTAAAAACCAAGAGCTACTTTTATCGAACCTTTATGCACAAATAAAAGATACAACTATAACTACTAGCTAGTTTGTATAAATACGCCCATACCCATAGGCCTTAGAGAATTTTTGTTTACATTATTTATACTGTTTAAGACTACGAGCGTGTTTGGAAAAACTAGTTAGCAGTTGTAGCTTTTATTTATTCATAATGATTCGGTCCAATGATATAAATCTTATAGGGTTAAGGACATTGCACCCCATATAACTTTTAGGTTTTGATTTAAATGGTCCCCAAACTTATTTTTTGGCTTTATGGGGGCATAAGATGATTTTCGTCGGGTTTAAATAGTCATTGTGGAAATTATGAAGGGGTGACCCAGTTACCCTTTTCTATATAGACATTTATCTTGACCCCACTTTCTGTTGACCCACTTCTCCTTCAATGGCTACGTAGACGTTACGTAACTAAGATCATGTATCCAAGAAAGAAGAGCCATGTTTGGCTAAGGACATTTGATATTGTGGAGAAGGCGGCAGATGCTTACGATTTCGTCGTACGAGAGTTCCGTGACAATAAGGCAAAGACAAACTTTCATACCCCTACTAAATTGTCACTACCGACGGTCACCATCGGTGGGAAGAAGGTTGTGACTAAAATCCCTAGCGGTGGAGCAATATCGTTGAGTCAGCTAACTACATCCTTTCGATCACCACCACTCCACTTCCACCTTCGGCTATTGATCTTAGCATGTTTCACTAACATGTCTATTTCCCAGTGGCTTATTCATTGTTCCTTTACCATTCATAAGTTGTCTAATGTAACTTTTTTAACAATCACTGGTCGTCAACCACCTTGCCCCTTCGTTTGCCCCTTTTTTTTAATCACAGAGCAGATCAAACTTAGAGAATTAGATAAAACTGAAAATGTATTAGTATTAAATAAGTATGGTTATGTTTCAATGCGTTGATAATGTTAAATATTGTCTTTCGTTTATATAAACATCAAGAGAGCAACATATCTACAATCTTGTGTTTTTTGATTCCCATATTAGTGCAATCGAAATCTTGTTAAATTGATCTTGTAATTTAGGATGATGGTGGCGGCGATGGTAACATACTGACATCGACTACTTGTACCATTCACATTGCTTGTTGTATTGTTACCTAGGCAACCACCTTAGACAAATTGGTCACTTCATTATTGACAAGGAAGCCACATTAACTTCAAATGCTCATGTGGCTTATATGAAACATGTTATATTAGGTATGAAGGACCAAAAAAAACAGGCCACCATCTTCTTTGTGCCCCCATAAAACCATAAATAATTTCATAGACCTTTTAAACGAAAATCGAAATGAGCTATAATGTCACTAATCCAAAATTTATATCACTTTAATGGGTCAGCATAGGTCCATTTATGAAATTTTTATGAAAACTGTCACTAAAAGCTTGTATTTGTACGCTAAATACCATTTCAGAATAATAATAAAAAATTTTAGTTTTTCCATGTTTCTGACACACATATACACACGTGAGCGTCGAAATTTAAAGCGATCAACGGTCAAGGGAATGGATGAACATTTGTACATTGGACGCATATACACCAGATTATACAATATAACTCACCTCTTTACCAAAAAACCCACATTTTTTTTTCGTTTAAAATTTTTTTAAGTCATGTTTTTTATCGGAAAAAAAAACCGAATACACCGTTGTTCATGATTTTGCGTCCACTTTCCATATATATCCATGTTGATATATGAAAAACAATTTTTTTTTTCGAAAAAAATTCACTTCGTTTTGTTGTTTTTTCAATATTTAAGTTTATTTTTATATAAAAAAAACTAATTATACAAAAAAATTCAATTTTTTGTCCTCTATCAATTAACATCAACATCGATTAAAAAAAACCTCGATCAGTTCAAATTCACACTGTGAATCTGAACTGTAAATATTTCAATTTTAACATTCACAATGTGAATCTAGGCATGTGAATCTGAGCAGATTCACAATGTGAAACTATACTGATTTTTTTTACATTAATATGAATCTATGTTTAAAGAGTACCAAAAAATATGAATTTTGATATATTTATTAAGTTTTTTCGATAAAAATAGGCATTTACTTTTCAAAAAACAAAGACATGAAGTGAGTTTTTTTGAAAAAAAAAATTCATTTATTGTATATGAATATGGATCTCTAAGGAAAGATGACGAAAAATCATAAACAATGAAATATTTGTTTTTTTTTTTTTGATAAAAAAAATGGCCTAAAAAAATTAAATGAAAAAAAAGAAGTGGGTTCTGTTATAATCTGTTGCATGTGCGTCCATTATAAAAGTGTACAACCTTCCTTTTGACCTTGATCATTTTAACTTCCGACGCTTTAAATTGGTTTATTGGTTAATTGATTACTAATGGTTCCTA